CGCCAAACGTGTAGTAAATCTAGTGATAACTTATATAAATGGTAGATAATACAATATACTTATTTTTAAAAAATTATTTTTGCCTTACATATAGTCTGCCAGTGATTGACGCATTTAAAAAACCGCAAAATTGTTATGAATAATAATTTCTCTGAAACGGTGTTGTGAAAATTAATCTAATTTTACAAAAAGTTCCAGTAATTTAGGATCTGTATAAAAAAAATTAAATTTTTGGTACTATTTCTTCAATACTTTTATTACTAATAACATTCGACAAAGTTGCGTTTCCCGTAAGAAAACTTATAGAACTCTTTAATACTAATACTGGCCAATTAATCACTTATTTTCACACGCACACACACACACACACACACACACAGTATTAAAAATACTATTAATAATATTTTTAATATTTAAGATAAGTTATTAATTGGCCAGTACTAGTATTAAATTTTTATAATCATCTCATAATTAAAATAATAATTACTCTTTAATGGTGCAGTGAATCTATTTTTTTTAGTATAGTTACAGAGATAATAAAAGAAGAGTTTCCCAAAGTTTCATCAATTTGATACTATTTTTGGAATAGCTCATCCAAGATACATCCTTAAAAAACCGCAAAATTGTTATGAATAATAATTTCTCTGAAACGGTGTTGTGAAAATTAATCTAATTTTACAAAAAGTTCCAGTAATTTCCAAATTTAATTTTCTTTGCAGGGACTGTGATACATCCTTAAAGATTGGTATTGATAAAATTTGTTCTTATGTGAATATAGCTTTGTGATTGGTTATTGTAACGTTTCTAAGATGTCATAAACCAATCACAGAGCCATATTAGCATCTTAAAACATTACTTAAAATGATGTTGAAGTATGGAATGCGGATATGGTGCGGCCGAACAGATGAAAATTGATTATAAATTATATAAAAACGATACAGAAATATAAAAATCTATCAAATATTTCAAATAAGTAATCTGAAATTTACGAATCAAAAACACGATTTAATCAGATAAAGTTTTTTCCTATTTGATTTTATTGGACTTTTTAAGGGATCAAAGATTGAAGATCAAATATAAGTATAAACAATTATGTCATAAATATATTCCAAATATAAAAAGTAATGATAAACGCAACTGTAACTGATTCATTACCGTTACCAAAAAATGTAACTACGTTACTGTTACCGATAATCTCAATCCGATGCAACGCTGGCTCGTGTAAGCCCGGATCTAATCGGTGTTTTAAGACTTAAGCCGTAAGAAACTGACCAATTATAGTCGAATCCGAGGGGAATAATCGACTGTGATTCGTCCATTTCTCATGGCTTAGGGCTTAAAATCCTATTGTACATCCGGGGTAAAGGAGCACAGCAGTGTCTCGCACCATGTCTCAACGCCGAGACACTACTGTGTCTCCAGATAGTTAAAAAAAAAGATAACATCCGCCAGTCCGTTATCAAAAAAAGTAACTTGTAATAGCAACGGTATTACAAGTAATACGTTACTTCCATTCCCTGTTACATGTTTAAATGTATAAGTATACTTATGTTTGTAAACAGTGTAGTGTGTGTGTTATTTTTACATGGAAACGAAATCACATATATATGAAGGCACTTATTACACACATTTGGATTTGCAGTGTAATTATTTTTATGGCCCAACATAATTATCTTAATTAACTTAATATTTATATACTTCGTTTTTTTCATTTACTAGTTCGATAAGGACATTATTTCATCTATCTACAAAATAATTTCGATTTGATTAATGTGCAATTCCCTCGATCGCATTGTAAAAATTAAAACACTATTTTCTGCTTTGTGAAAATATAGATAGTACTGCTGATAAAAGTATGATTCTGTATATTATTTTTAAATTTAATATTAGAGATATTTTTTTATTTTTAAATTTAATATTAGAGATATTTATTTTATTTAAGTAGAACACTGAAAATATTTGGCTGCTATAATTGCAGTCATTGGAAAAGTATAAGGCAAATATAAATCCATAAATATCTTTCATAATTTTGAACAAAAAAAAATTCGATGTGCTTTATCTCTGCAAGACCTATGACCAATGACTAAAGAAGAAGATAGTTTATCAAGTAATTGATAAATCAATATCACTAATAGAGTCGTCCAATTCAAATTCAATGTTAAAGTTAAATCTAAAATAAGAAATATACATTTCGCTGTTTTATTCGCGAAACTTTGAATAAGTACTTTTGACTTACGACTATCAAAATAAACGCTTCCGCTAAGGCACAATTTTCAAAATAAACGTTTTTCCGCTCACGTGCTGACTCTCAATGCATTAAAATTGCATATTTCCGGGGTGTCATACGATGTTTTCGCGGAGTACGACAATCAAATTTGCCAATCAGATTCATCCTTGAATAATAATTATTATTATACAATATATTATAAATACGATAGGAAAATTTCTTCCATGTACACATACAAGCGTGCCAGAACATGCGAATGCAAAATGTAGAACATTTCCAGCAAGCAAGAAACATATTGGAACATTGCAGCAACGTTGTAACGTTGCTTGTATATGCGAGAAATTTTACTGTCGTATTTATAATTATATGTTAAAAAAAATAATAACAATTATTATTTTACATATATTAGAAATTAAGGTTGGCAAGTAACGTTACTTGTAACATCGTTACCATTACAAGATATTGTACTTTTTTCGATAATAAATGGATGACGTCACATTTATTTTTGAGTAATGTTCATGGTAACGCAATTACATTTTTGGGGTAATGGTAACGATTTCACTAGTTACCTTTATCGTTACTGTATTTTTAGTCACGTAGAAGTTTTAATCGTAACTAGAGCGTATATACATATATACGGGTGTTTCAAATCACTCGTACACCCTATTTAAAAACGAGGGAAGTAGTTATTTTGAAAAATGTTTCAGACAAAAATTGTTGGGGATCAAGTAATGTATTACTTGATATATGCGATTGACCTTGGCATCGTGAAGGTCATGACCTTTCCATTTAAAAAATTCAAATCGACCTTGCCATGACCTTCATAACGCTACCTAAAGTCAATCGCATATTGCAGAATTCCGACATCTTTTTTGTATTTACTAAAAATCTGTATATAATTAGCGTTTCCTCATTTTTACATTCAGATTAGAGTAGTGTGCACTGAGTGCGCACAAGTTCTGGCAATGAAAAATGCTATAATATTCTATTAGTGTCAAGAAAAAAAAGTAATGACTCGTTATATATTTTGAGTGACGATAACGGTAACGAGTTACTTCAAATCAATAACGAATAACGATAACAAGTTACTTTTTAGGAAAAAGAATAACGTAAAGGTAACGAGTTATTTTTATGAGTCAATACTAGAAATATAATTTAAGTATTATAAGTTACATTAGTAATGTAATTTAATAGGTGCAGCATTTAGAACGACAACCCCTCACTGAGGGGTTCAATGCGCTCAGTGAGCTCTTTCATCTGATTGGTTTATATTTTATGATCTAATGAAAAATGCCAGTCAGATGAAAGAGCTCACTGAGCGTTCAATAAGCGATTATTGTTTTGAATGCATCCATTATTTATGTGTAATTTAATAGTAGAAACATTAGTAACGCTGTTACTAACATTAGTAACGCTCATTAGTTTTTTCACGATTAAAATACACATGCTAGAATTTTTTAATATATTGTTTACTAGGTATATAATAATTATTATGTATCCAGTAAGCAACAAGCTTAACAGGATGCTTCAGGACACTTCAGCAACATTGCAGCAACGTCGTAAATTTGTTTACTAGGCTTTGATTAGATTCAAAAACAGAACTCGTGAGTGTCTGATCGAGAGTCACTCACGTCTTGAGATTACAGATTATACGTATATTTATCAAACGAAGGTCAATGACTGTGGATGTGTGAAATAATCGGAGGCGCGATAGCAAAAGGCCATTGCAAACATATGTGGATTAAAAGACCGCGGTGAGTGTAACCTTTCAAAGAGCGAATACATACACCGAGAAAAAAAATTTGTTCAACTAACTAAACACATTTAGTTGTTTGCAAATTTGGTTAATTCAACAAATTTTATTTAATCGAATTTAACCGTAATCTGTTTAACATTGAACAGCTTGTTAGTTGAACAGTTCAGTTAGTTGAACAAATTTTTTTTCTCGGTGTATAGATATTTACTGCATTGCGCTGGAATGTGTTCATTGCATGCTGTCAAAGTATAAGTCTATTATATCATATTATCAGGATCGTACTTATCAGCAGGTACGTGGGAGATCCATTTATACACTGAGAAAAAATTTCCTAAATCTGAATATTTTCTTGAATATAGTACTAAGTAAACATTTCCTTATTGTAAATAAATATTTATTAAACGTAAATATACTTATATTATTTAATTTAAGTATACTGTTAAATCTATAGTGTCAAATTTAATCTAACGTGAGTCGTCACTGCTCCTACTAAATATGTCATTATTTTTTATCAAAACAATAGTTAAATTTGACACTATATCGTGTCAATTGGACACTGTATAGTATCAACTATAACCATTGTTTTATTCTAAAATAACGATATAATTTTGAGTAGGGCGACTCACGTTAGGTTAAATTTGACATTATAGATTTAACAGTGTATTACTCTATTTTTTTAAATAAATATTTATTTGCAGTAAAAAAACGTTTATTTAATACCATTTAAGAAAATATTACTTAAATTTAGAAATTTTTTTCAGTGCATGTGCGAGACACTAATGATCAGAGAAATCAGTTGTTCTACAGTGCGTTACATTTCTTGCTGTTTATTATTATGTTTGTTATTATTCAAGAGAGGATAAATAAATATCTCTAATAAATATTTCTTTATGCATTTGTTAAATATCCAAATTTGTTTCGTATCTATTTACACTCCAAGTGTCACACTTGAAACTAAGTGCAGCCCTGAAGCCAAGTCGTCATCTGTCATTAACTATGATTAGGCATGTTCACGCGAGCGCGTTTGTACGTAATACTTCAGTGCATCAGAAACAGTCATTGTGTTAAGATCTCTTTGTCAAAATGAGGTAACGTTCTCGACGATTTAGCCATGTTAACGATTAGTGTGCTAAAAAATCCAAGTTTACTTCAATTTAAATAAATATAACAATTAGATTAAGAGCACCGATAAGAACGCTTACACTTTTAATTTTCCAACTACAATCGTTGCGTAGTAAATACCAACTAACAGTAACATCAATGTTATAATTTTACATTAAACAATGTTACATACAATACGTGTGACGTTATGTTTATATTGTCCAGTGTGAAATTATAACAATGATGTTATTGTCAGTTGGTGCATTTACTTGGTATTCTGTCTACATTTTTTCTGGTACTCTATCTACTTTTCTGAATACTTCTTATGTATAGGTTCTGCAACAATGTATAAAAATTTTAAAAAACTTAAATATTAAAAAAATTTTTTAAATTTATTTAAAAAATTCTAAGTTTAATTTTGTGATTTTCGTGAAGGAAAATATTTATATAATGACTAGTATAAGATAAATCATCACTGCATCTATTCGCTAACGTTGACTTCCTCTGATAAATATACAGTATTGCTCACATCGGATCGCAATAGAATCGTATTCTTTCAAGATATTTTTCAAAAATAAAGATAGTACTCCTGTGAGAAGTATAATACTTTTCGTTATACTGCGTATATACTGCTTTCAAAATATAATAATAAATATGTAAAATATATATTTATATATATATATATGAACAGCTTAAGAGTATACAGAGTATCCCGAAATTCGTGAATCAAAACATCACAATAAGATAATTTTTAAAAAATTAAGTAAAGAAATTATGTATACATTTTTATTTCAAACAGTAGCTTTTATAAGGGTTTAAATATATAAAAGGTTTTAAATGTATAACCAATTACAGATTACATTTATGCTCGTTTTACCAATTGTAAATTAACTTTAATCTCGGTTTAATTTACTCTTCATCTTTTTCTAGTTCCAAGAATTAGAGTTAATCTACATTGGTAGAAACAGGCTTTAGATAGTTATATATCTATGTAATCATGTGTGCGATAGTCGCACTTCAACGCTTAAACGTAATATGCGTCTAAGTATAGTCTGTAATTGTTCACGTTTAAACCCTATCTCAAAAACTATTGCTTCAAATAAAAATGTAGGAGAAGTCCAGGCAAAGCGGGCGCCCTGGGCAAAGTGAATATTTTTTATTTTCGCTTATCTATCTGAGATAGTGTTATGAGTTTCTAACTATTGAAGGAATGATCGACCAGCGACGCCATGAAAGCGTGAAACAATATATGATTGCGTTCGTTTGTGTTTGATAGAGGAATAAAAGAAATTGTGTATTTTCTTGCGATTTTCATTAAGGTATGTAGTTTAATTATTAGCGGTAACTGTTTCTTAACCAGTGTGAATGTGATTTTTTATTATAAGAATTCTTTGACTTTATATGTGTATTCGAAGTTAAAATTTTTCACTTGTTGCTCAAACTTATTTTAGCTTTTCCAAATTTGCGTCAAGTAGGTTCTTTGGGCAAAGTGGATGGGGACAAAGCGAATGGCCCATCCTCAGTGATTGCACTAAAAATATCGGGAAGACGGAGAGACAGACGATCTTTCGAGTGAACGAAAAGCACATGATTGTTTACATCTCACTTTTGTTTTTTTTCCACAACGCAATATGATATGTGTTCTGAAGAATGCACCGATTCACCGTCCGAAGACTAGATCCAGTGCAGTCAGTGGACCAAATGGGTTCATGAAGACTACACTATGTGTAGAGAATTTGGTAGCTACTTTTGTGACGACTGCCGACACCGATTTTGATTTTTTTAATTCCATCCTTATTGCTCGAGTGATCCAGGGGGGTCAGGCAAAGCGGATGCTTTCTCTTTTTTTTACGCATTTCGACTAAAAAGACATTTAAATGTTCAAGTTTTTTAATTTAATTTTATTTTATTTCAAAGTTGATTCCATTAATAGAATTATGAAAATAAAAAAGGTTTCTGATCTTAATTTTAACTATGTCGTTTTTCTTCTCAAATCTTAACACTGCTTTGCCCGGACTTGGCCAACACATAATTTTATTTTACTTTATTTTATGTATATACATGTTATCGAGATTTTTAATTTTACAATTTCACAATAAATAATGCACAATAAACAGTTTGCTGAATGAATGGTGACGTTTCATAATTGAAAAACTTAATTTTTTCAAAAAAGTGTGATTAACCCTCCGTTTGCAATGTTGGGCTTCAAAGGCAATTTACAATCAATTTTTTTATTGTAAATTCTGATAAATAAATTAAAATCTGTAAAAAGTAAGTAAAATACAATTCAACTTTTATGATTCGGAGAAATCAATTGTTCTACAGTTACATTTCTGCCTATTATTATATCTGGAGGATTTAAGGAAAGATTTCTCAATAAACGTTTGAATTCTAAAATGTCTCATATCTGTATGCAAAAGAATGGACTTAACTTAAGAACGAACACGGATTGCTTGCACTACTCGTATGCTTCCTTATTGGACAATTTATTCCTTATTAGACTATTTAAACAAAATTGAGATCTAAACTTGTTTTATGATTTGACACTCTTAATATTATTTATTTTTAATGCTTGTTGAGAGTCCCCTTGTCACATTGTAATGTTTAATTTTAAGTCCGGATCTACAATAGATGTTTTAAGCCTTAAGCCGTAAGAAATTGACAAACTGATACGATTCTATAATCAGAGGAACGACATGTATTATTTTAACTTTTAAAATTATGAATCAATGTTTTTGAACCTTGTTTTTTGTTTCCCATTGATATTATTATATCTGTTATTATAAATATCTCTAATAAATATCTCTTCATGCATTTGTTAAATATCCGTACTCGTATTAAGAAGTAAAAAGTCTTCTTACTTTTTTATTTTATTTGATTTTATTAAAATATTTCTTCTGACTGTTTTTTAATAGATTAACTATAAGCTTTTTTTATAAATGATTACACGGGTTGTACATTATTTTCTTTGAACTTAACAAGATTCTCGCCTCGAACCGATGAATTTGTTAGCTTCGTTTTAATGATGTACTATTATTTAACTTATTTATATATTGTATTTTGTAATTAGCAGTATATGCATAGTCTTTTATCACACTTTTGTTCCTTTGCATTAATTTATTATTAGAATATTAAGTGCGATCTTTATAATAGAATAATTTACATGTCAAGATTTTTTATTTTATCTTTGTTTAGAACTGACGAAGACTAAGTAAAGGTCGAAAACGTTTTCATTATAATATATGAAACATTTATTATTGTATCATACTATGAATCATTTATTATTTGTATTACATCTATAATTTTTGATTACGTTTACATGAATTTAGACCGCAGCCTATACTCCAAATTCGACCTAAATTATTTAGGTCCTTCGCTGTAAACATTTGAGAGATGATCTGATTTGGCTGTAGATCAGGGTATCGATCATGAAACTTTTTTCCCAAGGGTGAAAAGTGAAAAGTAAAAAATTTCTCCATTAATTTCAATGGTAAAAATTTTCACTTCACATTCCATCCTAAGAAAAAAAGTTTCATGATTGATACCCAGGCATCGGTTTTTGGTGATCTGACCTGAAATAGGCCGCCTATGACTGTAATAATGCGCATAATGCGCATTGCACATGTTCTTTTACGTTATGACCAGCCAATCAAATGCTAGTCAAAATGTAACGACATATTCAAATTAATCAATGATACAAATTTAAGTGAAATTAAATTATTATTACAAAGCCTTGTGAATTAATAAAAATGTGTAATACAATAAATAAAATAACGATAATAAACAATTACCTGCATTAATTAATATATAGCAAACAATTACCTGCATTGATTAATAGGTAGCAATGTTTTACGTGATCGATAGATATTTTTATTACTTGTATAATATTTCACTAATTCTCCACAAATTTCTTCCTTTTCTTTATATTTATGTATATGTATTATGATATATTATGACATAAAAATAATAATAACAATCCGTAAAGGCCATACTAGTCACGGGCTGATGAAGGTGCCAACGATTAATTTCAATCTTAATTAATCATTAATGTGTAGAATCCTCTTTATTGAACGTTTCGACTCACTTTGAAGTCCTTCTCAGCAATACATATGTGTAATTAATATGTTGAGTATTCCGTCAACATGAGTCACTTACAGGTTCCCGACTGTAGTGGATCCTGATTAAAATATCAAAATTAAATTGACTTATCAAAAG